AAAATGTTAAAACAGTGATCATGGTATTACGGTTGATAATAAAAATCCAATTGTGCCCGTTATGCGCATATATTGTGCGTCAAACCGTTTGGCCAGATACTAAACAATCATGATAAACAGTGCACCATAATTATTGATCCAGATATATTAGTTGTATATAAAGTATAAGTACCTCGTTTACGCTGACAAAACCCAAGTCATAGTAGACTGGCATAAATACCTCGGCAGTCAACACAATGGTGATGACCATCGAGATGATTTGCATGGAGATCTGTGTGCCCACCTGATACACCTCCGCCGGGAGGCCCAGCAGTGTGTTTGTGGACATAAAACTGGCGATCAGGGAAAGGGTGGTCGGGAATAGACTGAGCCGTCTATTTCCCGTCAAAAACTCATCATTTGTGCCATTTTTGCGGGAAATGAACCAAAAGTAGACACCGATTAGCGATGAGGCGATCAATAGTGAACTAAACACCAAATAGTCTATTATGGAGAAGTTTGTGTCCAACATATTGACCAGAGACACTTTTTACTTTAGTTTTAAATAAGTGTTAAGGTTTATAAACATTAAATGTAAACATCATTAAATAAATTGATGTGTTATTACAAGTGATTCAACACAATGATTATGAATTAAATGTATTGTTTCTATTTATAAAACAAAAATACGTTTTACCATATATTTATCATTTAGTTTTTCGGTCAATTTACAATTTATAGTTTGTATAATAAAATGCACATAATATATTGTGTATATAAATTGTTTAGATTAAAATGCTAAACATTTTTATCAATCAATGTTAATCATAACAAATATAATTGATCAATGCCATATTATTAGGGATGCCCAATGCTATTTCCCCTCATTTATAGTGTTATCATTTGCTAAATAGACTAAATTTATGTGAATAGTAATAAAATAAAATATTATTTAAAACTTATTTAGTTTTACATTCATTGTTTTGATTATAATTCTAAACACCTGCTAATATTCTGTTATATACTAATTATTAAAATTATATTATTAATGATGCGCAGGATATAAAATACTTTATAAATTAAATTATAATATTTTGATATATTAAAATGGCCATGAGTATTTTACCTAAAAATAGTTTTAAAACTAGACATTATCAGTTTTTTATTGTAAATAGTTACACATTTTGTTATAAACTAATATTAAACCTAAACTAAAAACTACTTAAATTACCTATTAGTAATTTTGATGTTAGATATACGTTTATTCAGTTACATTATACTGTACAGTTTAGTATAATGATTATACTGTAACTAACATTGTTATAAATTAATATTCACGATAATAAATAGTCCATCTTGTTAATTAACAACCATTAAAAATTTAACACAAATTTGATACCAATTCAATAATAAACTAACTTAATGCATAACTGAACATTATAATTCTAGATTAAATAACTGAAACAGGAAAGTAAATAAATTCAAATACTTTATAACAACTTAATATTTATTGTTCATCGACTTTAGTTATAGCATCAGTGATAACATCATTGGTCTCATCGCTCTCTTCAGTGTCGGCATTAATCCTATCAATACTACTCCTGTCGACCGCCCCGTGATTATTGACGGCCGGATTGACAGCAATGGTAGACACGCCTAATATGCATCGGGAGGAGCACTTGCCCCGGATCTCTACCCTCCGCAACAGTGCGCTCAGTGCACTCACACCGCCCTTTGCGCACCCGTGTTGGTCGTCCACCTCGTAGATGCCAACACTCCACCACTGGTCGCCAGAGCACCGGCCGCCTGATATGATGCCACACTCCAGGAAATCCAGGTTACCT